ACCTGCTCCGGCGGCGGTGACTCAACATCCCGCAAGGGTGGACGGCCTGCGAACTTACATCCCAAGGTGGCCGCGCACGGAGCCTGATCGAAACCTGGCGTCTTGTAGATCTCCTTGCACCAAAGCTTCTGGGGTTCCAGCAGCTGGATGGACTTCACCGTAAAGTCCAGGTCGAGAGCGGGGATCAGGCTCGTGATTGTGTCGGACGCCGTTTCGGCCACGGTCTCGATGGTGCCTGAAACCGCGTCTCCGCCCGGAATGCACCGCAGCGGACCGCTGATCAGCTGGATCAGGGCCGTCGCACCCTTTGCCATTGCTTTTTGGATCTCTGCAACGATCAGGTCGCTGTTGAGCACAGCCCGGAAGCTGCTCGGCAGAGCGAAGGCGGTAATGTCGATGTCAGCGAAGGCCGACAGCGACGCCGCACCACACATCTCGATGGTTGTGGCTTGACGTTCTGCCTGCATTCTTTCCTCCACAACATCACCAATTTTCTCCACTACTTGCTGATAGTCTGGGACGAATTGCTGGTCCTCCTGGAGCAGGAACATGCCGGAGCCGAACTGCAACGTGCCCAGAGCCTTGGCCTCCGCGTTGATCATGGCATTGAAGTTGATGGGAATGCCCGGCACCGGCACCGGCCAAACGGTGAAGACAGGCCCCATGCCGACACGCACGGAGGTGGACGCACTCGCGCCGATGGCAAAACCATCCTGATGCTTGATCGTAGGGCTCTCGAAACTCGACTCGGCCTGGCCGTTGGGTTTGACAACCACCGTGCCCTTGATCTCGTAGTCCACATCCGCCGAGGTCTCGATGGTGCCCGTTAGGGTACCCTTGACCTCAAGTTCGGCCAAGAACCTGAGCTCTTATTCAAGGATTTCGTGTACATTAACGCAAATGAAGTATGGCTTTCCTGTTGTGGTAACCTAAACTGAGTTCCTTAGCAAGAGCACAGAATGGTTTAGGGTTTAGGGTTTAGGGAATTCCTTAACAAGAGCCCAGAAGCTGGAGCATGAAGACGATGCAGAAAGCCTTGCGCAGACGACTGTGGTCTTGGGCACCTTCGGGAGGCCCCTCTCGGCGCGGAAGGAACAGCTTCCTTCCCCCTCCACAAGGGCATGGATGGAGGCCCGAACCGTGCCTGCGATGCTGATCTCGGTGTCGCCGTTGAACCCCGTTTTCACCGCGATGTCCGGCGTGAACCTCAAAAGGTCAAAGTTTGTAGCATGACCAAAATATACGATTGTATAAGTATAAGAGCCTGAACAGCTTCCAAGTGAAA